CTGCGCCCACTCCTCGTGTGTTCCCTCTTCTCGCAAGGACTCTCTCTCCGACATACCACGATCATAAAGGAAATTTAGTTATGATGCTTTTTCCTTTTTCTCCCCACAAATATTCCTCATTGCACTCCTTGCCTAATTTTCAAACAAAATAACGCATCAATTCATCCCCGCCCTGTGCCATTGATCCTTTAATCAACAAAAAGCCATTCACCTGAAAAACAAACTCGGCTATTCGGGTGGAATTCTGGGTGAACTCAATAAATGAACATGAATTGAGACAGTCTCTGATGCACGCGTGGTAATGCATAGCACGGTTTAGAATAGCAATACTCAATTTTGCTCGAATTCTGGTTTAGCGCAAAACATGACACAACTATGTTTAGCGATCATAAAGAAAATCCTCTTTTTTTTTTTTTTGAAACTGACCGAATCGATTCCTAGATGACCACATAAAATATTATACTGTAAAAGCAAAGGTAAAAATTGACGATAACGCATGGTTGTTAAAGTAACATACCTGTAGCCTTTTTGCATGACCAATCTTCAGCACTCCTAGGTCCTTCATATCCGTTCGCTCCAAGTGAATCAGTTCATGCCCGCGAATGTCGTTTGCTTTGAATTGACTGGCGTAATGTGACAGACCGAGCGAGTTCAGCCACAAGGATACGTCATCCACCGACCATGTGGTTACTGTATAATTAGGTTTTAGGTCAAAGCATCAAAGTCTTATCAAAAAGATGAGAACAGCACTCACCATGCGTTGACGGTGCACCTGACCGTCGTTTCCATTTTCGGGTGATCCAGTCAGTAAAACGACTTCTCTTCCGTTGTCCTGTCTCAACTGTTCGGAGTTCCTTCAGCGCTCCTCTTCTCGACTGCAATCTCTTCGGCGTTTATCTGCCAGCACATCACGCAAATTTCCGGTCATACCCTTGTTAAATAATTGAATGTTTTCAGGCTACCAGAACCACGAAAGCAGTTGTGAAGCTCTTATACAATTAAATGAATCAGCTTAATTTACCCTCCTAGGAAATTACCAATAACCAGAGCGGAAACGTTCCATTAAGCTTTTGCTTCAACACACTTGAATCATGCAGGGCGCAAGGAGTTAAAACCGTTCACACTTTCCTGCTCGATATCGCGCCAGATATATGCACTGAGAAGCTACTACTTGTTTCAATTTTACTCAAATTTCCGCCGTGAAACTTGCACAAGTGTTAGCTATGAAGATGCATCCATCTGCCTACTGAAGTGCCGCCACTAGAAAATATTTTTGCCTCTTCATCTACAGCGAAAACGTTTCACTCTTCTACTGCACCTTAATCTATCGTAGCACGACGTTTTTTCTCCATATTCGGAATGCTTCTCCATATTCGGAATGCAGCCCTTCTAGTGCCGTCAGCTGATGCGTGGAAGACGCACTTCGTTCCCCGCTCCATGCACCCCTTGATTTCACCCAGGTGTCCGTGCTGCTCACAAAGTGTGCTTTCCGAAGGCTCGTTTTTAATTCTGCTTCATGACTTCCATTCATAAAGGTCGCCAACTGCTTGAAGCTCTTCACAACAGTGACTCATGGCATGTATGGCGAAACAAACTTCAAAACTAATTTAAAATCTATTGATGTCTTTCCTACAACAAAGGACAATGGGCTACGCTAATTGCAGGCACTCCCATTGGGACATGAACGAACCATTTTCAAATGGATGTACCAGAAGCAATTATAACTAAAACCTAAAAACTTACATGCACTTCAAAAGTGAATAATGGTGCGGGTCCGAGACGAGGTTGGCCAGCCGGTACTCGTGTATGCTCTGTCCAGCCGAAATGGTCCTCCAGGCGATCTACCACCAATTCGATGGCTGCCAGTGCTTCTTCTCGAAGAGCTTGGCCATCTACTCCATTATAGTCCGGCTTAACAGATAACTGATGAGTTGTTAATCAAGTAAAAAGTGGACTTTGAAAAGAGACAGCATAAATAATGATTTCAAATGAGCTAGATCGTGATATAATTGATTAAATCCAGAAAATCATGTGTTGCAAATGTTTCTAACAAACGGGAGCAGATGAAACCATAGAGATCAGAAAAGGAAAGGGCTCTCATACAGTACCACACCAGTGCAACACAAGCGCCTCAATAGCCGACCTTATTAGATAAAGATAAAGCAATATCGAGCAAGCAACTTCCTCTAAATTTTCCGCTGGAGAAACTCTATACCCCAATTTTTTCAAACTGATGTTATCTATCCTGGTGAACATGGAGTTTGGGAGCGGGTACACGCTTTGTTATCTTATACTTAGTACTACAGAGCACTTCTCCAGCCTTACTGACACAAGTACAAGATAATGCGTAAAGGGCTCAATCGAGCTGTACTTTTGATAAGGACTGGTGAGTCTCCTTCATGGCACGCATCCCGCACACATCCTATCCAATCCTTTGCACCCGATCATTCACTTGGGAACTTCTACTCTGAGACCTAGGGAAAAGGGTCCATTCCCCTGGCTCACGACCGTTTCCTTGGACCATGGCAGGTGTAAGTGTGCGCGCATCTCAGGATTTAACATTTCACCGATACTCATCAGAATTACATTCGAAATTAGTCGATTACGTATCATGAACGCTGTTATCTTCACTACAAGAGAGCCCATCCCCCTGGGACTCCAGCTTCACCAGCAATCGCTGATGCTAGAGCTAGAACTGTCACAAATACAGCATCTGTAAAGCGACTGACGATCAAGGGTATTAATTTTTCACTTTTCGCATCAGTATCGTATAAC